TTATTCGGAGCATAAGACTAGCCGATAGAGACCATTGTGACAATGAACTGAATCGGCTTAAAATAATATTCTTGATAATAACTATCCCCTAGACTTGATTGCAAATAACATTTATTAAGGAGACCTTTTCTCATGTTTTGTCTTTACCTTCGTGCATTCTCTCTAAAAGGAGAGGTGAGCAAGTAAGCAAGTGGGGAATAAAAACGGTCTTCAGTTATGCCCACTTTTAGAGAGAAAGTTTGCCCATTATCCAGATCTGGTTGTCACAGCATGATGCGTACATGTGGTCGCTTTTATGTTGGAGACACTTGCCGTCCCATTCGGCAAAGGGTGGCTGAGTACAAAGCGCCTGCAAAGGCTATTGGGTTGAAAAATCAGAGCTTGCTGAGCACAGGCCAGAAACGGGACATGAGATTGAATTGTCTCAAACTTGTCGTTTTGCTGATTATGGTATGTTTGCCGCTAAACGTAAAATTGGAGAAGCCATCGAAATAAACCGAATAGTAAATACATTGAATGTAAGGAATACTGGTAAGAGGATAAGTAAAAACTATTTGTGCTTAATTAATAGACTGAAGGATAGAGGCGGAGTTGAGCCGCCTGCAGAAAGGAGGCTACGCAACTAATGTTTTCTTGTAGATACGAAGAGAAACTGGGTTTCGATGAATCTCATTGGTCTAGTGCTAAGATTTGACTTTTGCAAGAATGATACCCAGCTCTAATGATGTCCATCATATGCTGGACGAAAGCTCAGGACGTTTTCACCTGAAACGAGGAAATCCCGTGGACTGCGTCAACATGAATATCCTATACAATCCAACCGGCCATCCGTCCTCATCTGGTGAGATCGACCAACGAATCTCTTCTTCATGCACTTTCATACGAAATGAAGGTCCAATGTTATCTCAGGAGATTCTCCGTCATGCACTTTCATACAAAATGAAGGTCCCTCTATCATCTGGTGAGATCGACCAACGAATCTCTTCTTCATGCACTTTCATACGAAATGAAGGTCCCTCTAATAATGTTTTCTTATTTTGGTTCTAATCATAGTCACTTCCCTGTACTTTTAGCTTACTTTTTCTCTCTCGCATTGAGACCAAAAAAATAGTGTCCACC